TATTTTTTTTAAAAAATATATAGAATTAACAAAAATTTGGTCATTAGTGTGTTCGTACTAACACTAATACATCAAATTTCATCAAAACTCCAAATTAGTTAAAGCATGTTTAGGTGAGAATCGTATTAGGATGGGTGATACGTAGGAAGTTCTTCTTTTGAAGAAAAACTTTGAAGCATCGATAAAATTATCGCTGTATGACCTATATCATGGGTTTTAGCCATAAAAATAACTACTAAAAAGTTTCAACATCACAACCCTTAGGGTGTTGCAATTACTACAACAAAAAAATAATCATTAGCGGTATTTGATTCTTAATTGCCATTGAATATATACTTTTAGCGGCAATTGTCACTCTTTGTATATGTCCCTAAATTCTTTAGCGATATTAGTTTTAATGATATTTAACTAATGCCGGTAAAGACTTTATCACTCTTTATTAATGTCAATATTTAATGCCGCTAAAAATTATTTTCGTACCCTACTAACTCGAAATGCTTTGTACCAGTGGTCCTTAACTTGTCAAACATGATTAATTTTTTGATTATTTTTTCATTGAAAATTCCTTGCCAATAAGATAAAAATTCAACATGATATTAGTGTGTTTTTTAAGTAAACTTTGATGAGAAAATCATATGTTTCTAATAGCAACTATTTTCTTTTTTGGAGATAAATATTACGATGATTAAAAGACTACAATTTGGGGAATAATTGTCCCCACAAATATGCTTTTTTTTCCAAGCATAGAATATAAAATAATGCATTTTCTACCTGCACTAACTAAACAAAGGCATTTCTCCTTTTGTATTATAAAAAAAAATAAAAAAATTGATGAGACTATATATAATATAATTTATTTTTCATGCCAAGAGAATCCCAAAAAGTTTCATAGAAAATCACCATTGAGACCTTTCAATGGTCTACAAGGTCAAATATGACTATTTCTCCAAGATATTTATCATTCAATCGGTTAAAATACGTGTTTATGATCGTTTCGTTGTAAAAATTATGTTATATTTTAAATTTATAAAAATATGTTATCCAAGAAATATATATTAAGTAGCAATACAAATTTAATATAACATATGAGTAAGTAAATAGTGAAATGGTTAATAATTATGACACATTTATGAATATAAAAAAAAATAAAAAGAGGATTCAATTAATCAAAAGTTAAATATACTTGGTAAAATATCGAAGTAAATATAATTAAAATTTATCAATAAAAAAGTTATTAATTAATTTATATTTTTAAGCTATGTTTTTTAAGCATGGCTAGGGGTGGAAGAGATGATGATACCATACATTCTCATTCATTTCAGTTTTTAAAATTTTCTCCACTAAATAGGGGACCTAAAAAAGAGGGATACGTAATTATTTGGAATATTTAAAATTATTGGGTCATTGATATATGGATGTGTTTATTTATTAGAGATAGAAAAGAATAATATTACATAGTTTTCACAAAAAAGAATTATCAAGAACTTTTTACTAATGTTTAAGGAAATAAACATTTACTTGTCTTTTAATTTAATCATTTGATATTTGAAATTTATTGATCAAACTAATTGAATCGTACGAAATGAATTCATTAAAAAAAAATTATTTAAAATTTATTTTATAATCATAACTTAAATTTAAAATAATTCTCTAATTAATGACCGACAAATCTCAACCGTCTCATGAGAATATTTGGAAAAACTTCTAATTGAAAAAAGAAAAACTAAATAATAGATGTACATATGTTATTGCTCTTAAGTGTTATCTTTCAATATATATTTTTCTCCTTTTTTCATATCTTTGTTTTTTTCCTTTTATTTGATTTTTGATATTCACTTTAAGGTTACAATATGTTATTTTGTAATTTTTTTAATAGCATACTATTCGAACATTGTCATTTAATTTGTATTAACTTTTCAAAATTATTTAATTAATATTCACTTTTAACATGGTTTATATTAAATTCAGGAATGTTATCTCATCTGTCAATACTAAAATCACATCATTAAATGTAATGTAATTTCTAACTTGTTATGCAAAGATTTTAGAAAATATATTTTGTGTTGACATAATTATAGAGGTTTTTAGTGACTATACATATATGGTTTAATTTCAAAATTGAATTCTCGTTTACCTACTCCATTATGATCCAATTAACTCTGGAGTAATGGGGGAACATAGGACTTGTAATATTCTTTTTTAGAAGACAAATATATCAAGTTAGTTCATGTAGCTCCAACTACAAAGCCAAGAGCAAAGAACTTGGAACAAGAAATAAAAATAATATTAATGTTAGATAATATTATAGTCGATATATAAGTGGAGTTCTAAGATATTGTACGTAAAATTTATCTTTATTTTTTGCAGGTTAAATATATTGTGTTTTTAATAGATCATCAATGCATTTCTCTCTTTGCAGAATAAATAAACTGTTTATGATAAATCGTCTACTAAAAAAAAATATTTTGAAGCAAAAAATTATTTTTAATGTTGACTTCTACATACCAAATCCTAACCCTCATCTTCAAATTTTGTTTTCTTTGGTATATTCCCTTTGCACCACATTATCCAACTAATTGAAAGAGAGTTTTTTTTCTATTTTTTTTTGTAAAAAAAAACATCTAAAAGAAGGGAAAAAAAGACTATTTTTTTTCATATTTCCTTTTTTGTGTGTATTGTGAAGAGGGTGATACATACTTATACTATTAGTAAGTACTTTCCTAATTTTGATTAATTAATAGGATGATGAGTTAATTAACTTGATATGTTCACATTAGATACCTAGCAAAGAACGAGCTGAATAAAAAAATCATGAAAAATATTTTTCCCTAACAAAAAATTGAAGGATCGGAAGACGACATACAAAACCACCTCATTTTATATATTATAAGTACGAGTACTTTAAGTTTCTATATACTGACAGTATATATTAAACATAACTAATTGTAGATAACTTTATTTAATACATATTCATTTTGATAACCTACAACAAGGGGTAAGTAACCTTCTATAAGAGGTTAAATTACATCAACATAATATCAAAATTCATTGCACTTCTAGTGCACACAAACTTAAATCCTACATGTCAATATCTCATGGTTCATGACCATTTGATAGTGTAAAAAACTCCTTTTACACTATCGATATATATAAGCTAAACTCTATTCAGATATTTCGACTATATACTCAAATCTTTTTCTTTTAAGATTGACTAATATCTTCAGGTAATAATTCGAGTTCCTTAAATACTTCATCGCATTCTGGTGAAGCTTCTTTCTTCAAGAAGAATAGAGGGTTCGCGTGGCGAGTAGTATCAACTATGCCATTGTTGTTTGTAATGGTGATTCTTGCTGATTCTTGTGCATTACGTTCATGTGGTATCTCAGTACAATCATCCATGGGGCTCTTCTTGAGCATCATCTCACATATATCGTCCTCGTGGTCGTGTTCCACGAGGAGTTCATAGAAACCATGCTCATCAGTTTTACCATCCACTGTTGCAGTGATAGCATCAGTTGTTTGGTTCTTACATTGTAGTTGTACCTCCGCGCCTGCATGCATGCATGCATACATGAAATTTAAGTAAATTCGTGTAATTTATAATAAGGCGTCAAGTAATTCACTTAATAGCAGAGCAGAGCAGATAAAAGTTTGATCAGATTCTCAAGAAATGCATAATATGAAAGATGGATTTGACCTATATATATATATGACATTTTTTAAAATCTAATAACAATATAACACATAATAGGCAAATGTACATATCAAACTATTTTTGTATATTTTATAATCCCAAACCATATATAGATCTAATAAATTGATCTAACACTCAAATCAAATTAAACCACAAACTATGTTTGATGATAATAATGATAAACAAGACATATCATCTTTTTCATAACTTTGGGAAAATATAAAAATTTATTACACTGACGATGTAATACCTGATAATGGCTTGCTAAGTCGATTTTCGAATTGAGTGCGACAAACGTCACAATATACTTTTCCATCTACCTTGAAATGAGTTTGACTATGATCACTTGAAGCTTCAGACTCAGCATGAATTACCCCAAACAGGGAAAACAAACAAACTACACTAACAATTAGAATAATTTCACTTGATTTTGTCAATTTTAAAAAAAAAAAATTCTTGTTTTATTCTTCTTTTTTTTTTTGGATGTTGTAATTTTTTTAAACAGGGAAGTGAGTGAAATGTGTAATTGAGGGGTTGATTTATATTTTGTATTTTCAGTTATTGTTGTGAGGTTATCATGTTCTTTTGGTCTTTATGTGGTTACAAGTAATTTTATTTTACTTAAATTGAATAATTTTTTAGTAATTGAGAAGTTCCTCCTATTTTTACTCATCTAGATTGTTTGTAAGGTTGATTTCGCGGGAGTTTTTTTTCTTCTTCTTTCTATCGAGAGTGTGTTGGGGAGATCAGGGAAGAATATAGATTGGATAAATGGACGGATTTGGTCTTTGATTGAACAGATCAACCAGGTTAAATGATACACGTGTCATAATTCAAATCGTCCAGATTTTATTTGAGTCAAATGCAATGCATATGGGTCAATTGATCTTAAATAGAAAATCATAATTTAGCACATTAAATTCAAGATGATAAAACAAGAATTAATGTAATGTTGGGTTTACTTTTTTAATACAAGGAACCTTGATCTTCATGGTTTAAGTATGTGATTAGTCCATGTACAAGCCTTGTATCAATTTGGCATCTTATCCTTGGACAATGTATTAGATAAACCAAAAAGACATTCCAGTGCACAAAGTATTCCACATAGAGTCCGAAGAAAGATCCATTTCAAATGTTGTGACGTAGATAATATATCCTAATACAAACATTAGTCTGGTTCCAAGACTTTAACCCGTGACTTATAGGTCACATGGAGATAAACTTTACCATTGCTCAAAGGCTCCGATTCTACGGAAGAATGCAGCATATATCAAGAGAGAGAAAAATGGCAGTGAGGAAACACAGACAAAAAAAATGATGACTGGTACAAAGTAAAATCAGTAGCTTTGGTGGCTAATACAATGTTGATTTCTTTGTATTCTCCATTGAGTTTTGTCTCTTTACATGCAAAAACCATACTATAAATTCAGTTCCCTCAATCAGATAAGCATAACAGCAACAAAAAGTCATTAAAAGTGAGGCTAAACATGGCAGAAAAGGAAGGAGCAATTGTCAAGAAGGGTCATGAGGAAGGCTTAAAAATGGCCCTTTCCCTTCTTGAAGAATATCAACTCCCAGCAGGGCTTCTCCCTCTGGCTGATGTGATCGAAGTCGGGTTTGTGAAGACCACGGGGTACATGTGGATCCTGCAAACTAAAAAAGTTGAACATAACTTTAAGATGATCAGTAAGCTGGTGAGTTATGGTGCTGAAATAACTGGATACGTCGAGAAGAACAGGATCAAGAAGCTCAAGGGAGTGAAGGCTAAGGAACTGATGTTATGGCCTCCAGTTGGTGACATCTCAGTGGACAACCCTCCTACTGGCAAGATTCACTTCAAGAGTCTTGCTGGCATCACGAAAACTTTTCCGGTTGAGGCTTTTGCAGCTGGACAGTAACGGGAGAATGCGTATCTTCAGATTTATATGTCTTTGTCTGCACTTGTTTTGATTTCTTCCTACGCTTGAACCTGTTTGATAGTCAACTCCATGTTGAGCCAAATAAGAAATTTGTCGTTAGATGTTTTTTCATGAAAGAAATGATGAAAGATACACTTCGTGTAATTAAACAACAACAACAATATATCCAGTGTAATTCTACAAGTGGAGTTTGGGGAGGGTAGAGTGTACGCGCAAACCTTACCCCGAGCTTGGGAGGTTTGTTCACAATCATCAGTAAATAACATTTGCTTCTGCCCCTTAAGCTGAAAATCACAACGTAGAACAGAAGTGACACGAATTCTAAATAAAAACAAGTACAATACAAAGAGGAAGAGGTATTCTTTTCGTCCATCCTGTCAATGCATCCTGCAGTTGTCAAATTAATTTAATGCTACGGAAAAACCAAACTTATTGCAATTTGAATGCGAACCTTACCTCAAATTTGCTGAAAATGTCATCATTGTGCACGAAGCTTCTGTAAATTAGCAGAAAACTTCATCTCGGTTAATCTTGATTTTACTTTTATCAAGTGAAGGTATATTCATTCATACATATAGTATAAGGCCTGGTCACATACAAGGAATGTACCAAAAGGTAATGAATCTATAACAAAATATGATTCTCTATAAATCCACCCGATCTTCTATACAACTTGGAACTCTAAAGAAAAAGGGGATCAAAGGTTACTTTTCAATAGAGAAAAGCTTGACTCTACCCCTTCAAAAGGTCCTATATTTCTCTCTCTCTCTCTACACCACCCACTTTAATACCGCATCTTCTCCTCCTTAATTCCACACTTTGAACTGAACATCAATTCTTTGCATAGCCCAAGTACCACATTATTTGAAACATATCCCACCATAACTCATGGAAAGACCACAATGAAAGAACTACGCAACTACATCCTCTCCCGCCTCCATGCACAAATAACACCAGCTCATGCAGACAACCTTCTGCCGTCTATGATTTTCCATTGCCAGGATCACCCCTCTAGTAGCCAGCCAAGTGAAAAAGCACACCTTCATCGGCACTTTGGAAATGTAAACTGCATCAAAACTTCCTCTTCCTAACCAAAAGTTTCTCAAAATAAGACTAAACCAAGAACATACCACTCATCCCCATCCCCCACACCAAAGGATATCGGGAATATCAACTAAAAATGAATTGGTATTGATCACTGCAGATCCTTCTTTTGTCTTAAAGGCAGGAGAATGACTGCTAAAGACTAAAGTCAACTAAATAGACCGAACAATTTTGAGATATGATAAAAGCTAATTATATGCACTCGTGTACAAAATTGTGGAAGCTCAACAGAAGCAAGAGTGAAAATAATATGAAGTCTGTTAGTGGAACAGCTAGAGAGCTTTACTTGTCCGTATCTTGCATAAATTTCTGGAATGGGAGCCTTGGAGCAACCATAAAGTTGCATCCATGTGATCTCTAGGTCACGAGTTCGAGATGTGGAAGCAGCCACTAATGTTTGCACTAGGTCTACATCACAACCCTTTGGGTGTGGCCCTTCCCAGACCCTGAAGCCACTAATGTTTGCATTAGGTCTACATCAAAACCCTTTGGGTGTGGCCCTTCCCAGACCCTACTAACACGGGATGTTTCGTGCACTGAACTGCATTACTTTCTGGGATCTCCAGGGGACTCTGTCCTCTACCCAAAGTGAACGATTCTACAACTATAAATACCTCAGTCACTTTGAAGATATAAAGAACTTTTTCTTTTGAAAATAAAGAGATTTATTCAATGCTGCAAATGCTGGCAGGAAGTTTCTGTCTACATGAACTAGGATTCGATGTATAACCATTAACCATTCAGCATTTATTAATGAATTGTTCAGCATTTGCTTCATTTTGTTAATCAAACATACACATCTCGTCTCTTACTTCTTTAAATAAATGTCCAATAAAGACTGCGTCAAATTATCAGAAGAGCTGCTGCCTAAAAAAGTGTTTGATTTCCTGAAATTATAATTCCCTGCAATCTTGACACTCTGAGTTCCCCTTTGGTAAGAAAAGTAATGATCCTAATCGGTGAAGATGGACAAATAACTGTTCTACAAATAAACCCTTTCAACTAGACATAAAAATGTCATTGTTTACCATCTATGGACCCTCAAATCACCATAGTATTCAGCATGAAAAGGTGTTGCATAAAAACTTAAAAAAATGACTACCTATCAAAAAGAAAATTGAGTCCTAAGCTCCGAGAAATCTATCTATGACCCACCCTTTTAACCAATCACAGCCTTCTAAACACTGTGGATGATGGGCCCGCCCCTCTACCCTTCACCACTAAATACTGAGCTTCACTTTGCATAGCGTGGGGCTTGAAACCTGCAAGCTAAGCCACAAATCCTCCACCTTTTTCCACTCGAGCTAGGCCTTGGGGCTAAGATCAAGATAGTTTACAAGAGAGAACTTCTCACTATGACTAAAAAATGAAAATGTACTGGGAAAAACGGAACTTCTCATCTTAGAAAAATAAATAAAAAGACAGTTGTTACAGGTTCAAGATAGGACCCAAAGAAACAGAGTATATATGTTTAAATTCCACCAGTATGGAACTCACGCAAATCTACAGATTAAAAATATTAACAAAAGTTACCCTATACTCTAGCAAGATCGGTCAACGAAACATAACAAAATTTTCTCTGCAATAGTTTTACATAAACTGACATAATGGTTTGAGCTGACCGGTTAGATCTTCAATAGTTGAAAACATGCAAGTCCATCAGGGTCTTGTAATATCCCTTTTCTATCTCCACTTCTTCCACCTGATGAAGCAGAAGGGTTTCAATAATGAAATCCTCCCAATCAACATCAAATTTCATTTTCCTTTTCCTTCTCTTTCCAGCATTTACGTGTTCGAGGGAGCCTACATCAATCGTATCAATTGAACTAGCATCCGAAGGATACATTGTCTTATGGATTCGATACTTTGCAGCTTTTATCTTCTCTTTTCTCCTTTCATATGACAAGCAACCACTATCAAAAGAAGGAGGCATAACACTTAAGCCCACATCTTTCTCCACTATTTGCTTCACTAAAAGCTTTTTGCTCATTTCTGATTCGCCCTTCCACCAATCTGTGTATGAAAGCATGCCATATCCTCTCTTCCTTTTCCTGATGCTATTATCTCTGCTATGTGTCGACTCGTGTACATGCATTTCATCCTTCATCTTTGAATAAATCATTGCTAAACACTCTTGGGAAATTTGGAATCTATTTGGACCTTCAATACTCAACCTTTTAGAGTGATCCATCATAAAGTACTGCGAGTCATTTACGGTGTCATCGGCATCTAAAGCATAGTCATTTCCGTTGCTCAAACAATCATCGATCAAATAATCCAGATCAAACCCAACATCCTCAAAATTCTTATTTTTATTTCTATTCTTCGACATTGACTTTAACTCCATGTATTGAATAACAAAAGTCGCATGCTTCATAATATTCTTAACCGTAACATCCTCACCCCAAGGCAAACCTCGAGCAACCTTCACAAGCCTTTCCAACAACTCCTTATACCTCAACCTACAAGTAACAACTGCCACTTGCAACTCATTCGCCACATCCTCAATCACCACATCAACTTGATTCAACTTTGCAACAAACACCAACACTGCTGCCACAACAGGCAACGGTCTCCTTCCCGTCGTCACATACCACTTCACCAAGCACTGCACCAAAAAAACACCCTGTTTCAACATCCTCCCAATCAAATCCTCAGAAACCTCACTAAAACTCGGAGCATTCCTAATATAATGCTCGAACGAATCAACAATATCGAATTCAGGCAACTTCAAATCAAGAAAATCAACAACCCGATAAATCATCCTACCCAATTCATAAATATCACAACAAACTATATTCGCTACCGTAACAATAGCCAACGGCTTCCCGTCTATCCTCATTACAATACAAGCACAAGCACCTATTAATACTGTAAACCATCTACCCTGCCCGTATTCTCCGTCAGTAACTTTCACTACCATATCCTTAACTTCACTAGATTTCAAGCTCGAAAATCCTAATTGGTACATTAAATCTTCGATTTCTTTCTGGGCATTGTAAATTTTTGTTTCGTTGTAGTTATAAACTGTTCCGCTACCGGCGGTGCCGGTGCGGACTTGTGTTCCGGTTGGACCACTAATTCCACCGATTTGGGCATCGTAATTATCGTAATCTTGTAAAGTTCCACATGATAAGCAAACGGGATTACCTGTTGTGTCATCTGAACCGATTGTATGCTTTTGACAACTCTTGCAGGAACGAGAATTCTCCATGGATGAACCGAAGAAGATTCAGCTCAATTTTTTTGAGCTAGGGTTTTTTTTTGTTGATGATAAATTAGAAAGAGGGGATTAGGGAAACCCGAATGCATTACATGAGGCCCAAATCAATTAACGGTCCATCCGTACAAGGCCCGCGAACAAAATAAAGACATAATACATATTCTATATGTTATATTATGCGTCATTTGTGGTATAATAATATAAACTTATTTGAGTGTATCTCATATAAAATGTATATTATTTGTTTAATTTTATATACTTTTAAATGTTTCTTTTTTATATATATTCAAAGTTAGAGGATATAGATAGTAATTGAAACTACTTGTGTTTTTACTATTGATCGGGCAGTGGTGAAGAAAGAAAAAAATCACTCGATATCAACTAATATCAGAGTCAAAGTGATGAATTTGATTTTTAAGAGCAACACCCTTGCATGGGATAGGTGTTAGGAGGGGTCGGATTGTTAAGTAATGTTAATATCATGTTGGAAAACTTACATAAATATACTATAATAAAAAAATATTTACTATTTATAGCAATAACATTTTTTTTCACTTGATCACTTATAATACAAGTTTAATACATATTACAAAGATAAATTTATTATTCAAATATAATACAAGTTTTAATGACGGATAATATATTTATCACACATTTTAATACACTTATAATACACAATTTTTTACCAAACAAATATAATATATTTCAAAAACAATTATAATTCAAATATATTGCATACATAACTCACTTTTAATACATATTACAGATTTATCACAATATTGCTATAAATGGTAATAAACAAAAAGTATCGCTAAAATTCGTAATTATTTTTTAAAATGTATTTATTCATGTAATTTTTCCTATCATGTTTATGCAAAGCCATAAAAAAGTGGGTGATTTGGATCGTAGTTATAATTGAACATGATGTTTGTTTAATGAACTTAATTAATAAATAAAATGACGCTTTCACTATATTAATTCTATTAGTATAAGAAAATTTCTATAAGTAGCAATTTGAAACATCGATATGGTAAAAGTATATATATCTTAAGTATAGTTGCCCAAATCTTTTATATAGTTTAACTTTCGAAAAGTAAAACATAACAAATATCGGATAACGGATCGAGTAATTTGACTAATCTAGGTAATGTAAGTGTCCCTTTGTGACACTCTTATGCGACATTGTATAGCCTTCTACTTGAATTAAGATAATATATTATCAACTTTTCACCAAAAAAGAAAAAAAAATGGACATAAAGGCTAATTATATATTAAAAAGTTAAATCCAACATATTACTTAATTAAAAAAGAAAATAGAAAACAAACTTCCATATATATTGCCTAAAAAAAATATAAATTAAAAAAAGTGTTGCCTCTTTGTTTCCACTTTGTAATGCGTTTATTTCTGTTTGAAGAAATATTCACATCTATTTTCTTGATTTGTTTTTGTTGTATTGTGTGGATATGCTTTTAAAAAATTAATAATAATCAAAGAACCATAAAAATAGGTCTATAAATACCCAAGAAATATTTAAAAATCAAGTGTTAAATTATGGCTTATATGTTTAATTCTAGTCTCATTTTTGCTACTTTACTAGTGTTGAATTTCTTGATCATTCAAGCTACATCTCGTACTTTATACGAATCGTCAATGGTTGAAAAACATGAACAATGGATGGCTAAGTATGGACGTGAATACAAAGATGAAATAGAAAAGGCAGAGAGGTTCAAGGTATTCAAACAAAATTTCGAGTATATCGAATCGATAAATAAAAATGGAACACGATCGTATAAACTAGGCATCAATGAATTTGCTGATCGTAGAAAAGAGGAATTTAAGTCTGTTCGTAACGGATACAAAATACCGTCTAAGCAACGAATAAAAACTAAGTCATTTCGATATGAAAATGCTTCATCTCCAATTACGATGGATTGGAGGAAAAAAGGTGCGGTTACTAGGATTAAAGACCAAGGGCAATGTGGTAAGTTATCAAACAAATATGATAATTCGCGATAACAAAATTAGACTAAGTTATTTTACACTACGATTTTGTAGGATGTTGTTGGGCGTTTTCTGCTGTGGCTGCAATAGAAGGACTTAACATGATTAAAACGGGTAAATTAATTTCATTATCTGAGCAAGAATTGGTTGATTGCGATATAGGTTTAAATGAGGGTTGTGAAGGAGGTCTCATGGATAACGCTTTTAAATTCATTATAAAAAACAATGGAATTACATCAGAAAATAGCTATCCTTACAAGGGAATCGATAGTAGTTGTAACAAGAACAAATTACTCAACCATATGGTGAAAATTTCTAGGTATGAAGATATTCCAAGTAATAGTGAATGGGCTTTACTTAAAGCTATTGCAAATCAACCTGTATCTGTGGCGATCGATGCTGGTGGATCAGATTTTCAATTTTATTCTAGTGGTGTGTTTACAGGACATTGTGGAAATCAGTTAGATCACGGTGTTACTGCAGTTGGTTATGGAGTAACTAAAGGTGGTACTAAGTATTGGCTCGTTAAGAACTCATGAGGAACTAGTTGGGGCGAAGACGGATACATTAGAATGTTAAGAGGTGTTAATGATATGGGAGGACTTTGTGGGATCGCCATGCAAGCTTCTTACCCAATCGCTTAATTATCATATTTTTCATCTGTAATTAATCAACTATGCATGTATGTGGTTTAATTCGCATGTATTATATTATTTTTATGCAAATGCAATGATGGATCTTGTTCAATGTAAAACGAGATTCAATACTGAGAAATTAAAGACATTCTTTTTGGCGAAATACAAAAATACTTCCTTTAAATTGTTAAGCAATAATACTATAATATGATTAAAAAAATGTTAAATCGCGATATTTCTTTTAGTCAAGACAGAAAAATACATAGTGAAAAATATTATTATTACATTTCATAATTGAAATTATGTTTAGCGTGAAAGAGAGACAAACTTTAAAGGGAAAAGGGTCAAATATGCCCCTAAACTATTTGATAAGGTTTAGATATACTCTCCGTTTAAAGTTTGGTTCATTTATACCCTCGTCATCCAACTTTTGGTCTACATATGCCCTTTTAGACGTTAGTTGGCCAACTC